GACTTTGTACTTGTTACTTCCCCCACCCCCCCCCCCCACCCCCACCCACTAAAAAAAGGAAAAAGCTCACGTAACGCCATTTTCTTTTTATTTCTCGCTATGTTGCTATGGTGATTACACTGAGATCACGTGAAAAGGTCTCAGCGCGTGTGAGCGCTGATCAAATGCTCAACAAATACCAAACACTGGTGCGACGTGACTGGCTGTCGTGGGTCAATTAAAAATTTACTGGGCAGTGTAGTTTAGATCGGCGCTTCCCGAACGTTTAAGTTTGCCCGGCCGGGTGGACACGTTTTGAGATAGCCTCCGGGACCGGCACCAGATTTAGTAATCACATTAATTTCTTTTCATGGACCAATAAATCTTCATGTTGCGCGGACCGGCAACGTAAGGCTCGTGGAACGGCGCCGCTCCGCGGACCACGATTTGAGAAACACTGCTTTAAATCCATTATTAGAAATGCGGTGGCCACAAACCGTACACAGAGTATCGAGATATGAATAGATGGTATTTGAATAGATGGTATTTGTATAGAGTATAGATGGTATTTGAATAGATAGTATTTTAATAGATGGTACATATACAGTAATACAGTAGATATGGGTGACGAATATGGGTTAGTGCCGTGAATATAAGGCCTGGATACACACTTATGTACCGATTCATCACCTTAACTCTGCAACTGTTTAAATGACATGAGCATTTCACAATACCCCAGGGCAAAAAGGCTCAAAGGCAGACCTAGGCTTAGGTGGACAGATGATGTAGAAAAGGATCTACAGCAGCTGAAAGTCCAAGCATGGAAAAGAAAGGCATTAGTTAGGTCTGAGTGGAAGGAAGTGGTGAGGCAGGCCAAAGCCCTACATGGGCTGTAGCGCCACAGGGGTGGATGGATGGATTTCACAATGACGAGTATCAAAAATGAGAACTCGGTGCGGATCACCTGTCGGGCGACAAAAAATAATATCAGTCAGTGGCGTGTCCTGAATGATTGCCGCGAGGAATGAACTCCTCGAGCTGCGCTATCACATCTTTTATTTAATGCTGATAATAAAACGAATGTGCCCCCCGTGTCTATCTCCCACACCCCCACCCCCCTCCTTTTTTTCCCTTCTCCTGTTTAAGGAACATCTCGTGAAGGCCAGTCCATGAACCTCGAACCATTTATTTGTAGAGTTCTTAACATGCAGGTTATACAGGACAGAATTGGAATTATTTGTTCCGTTGAATCTCGTATATTTGTATGGCTTTTTGAATAAACCGTCAATAAATACTTAGTATTACGTTTGGTTCCCTGTTATCTGAGGTGCACTGTGATCAAAAGGATGTCACCACTTACCACTTCTAAAAAATTACGATTTTTAAAAAAAAGAATTATATTTTGACTCAACAAAGACAAGTATTTGCCAGTTATTGAATTATCTAAGTAGTAGTCAGTTCTTTTATCATCTAAGTAGTAGCCAGTTCTTGTAACATCTAAGTAGTAGCCAGTTCTTGGAACATCTAAGTAGTTGCCAGTTCTTGTAAATCTAAGTAGTAGTCTGTTCTTGGAACATCTAAGTAGTAGCCAGTTCTTGGAACATCTAAGTAGTAGCCAGTTCTTGGAACATCTTAGTAGTTGTCAGTTCTTGGAACCTCTAAGTAGCAGTTAGTTCTTGGAACATCTAAGTCATTAATAACTGCAGGTGACTCTCACAACTTCTGTTTTAGTCATGGTTTTGTCAGTCCTTTTTTTAAACCTGGTATTATAATCTTGGTATTATAATCATAAATCATGTACCATAATCCGGTGCTATAAGCAGGTATATTAATCCGGTACTCAAATCCGTAGTTATAATAATAAGATATCTGGTACTCTAAACCTTTTTTGTAATAAGATATATAAATCGGGGGCTTTATTCCGTCTCTTTAAACGGTTACCATTTATCTGGTGCAAAAATCTTTGATTATACCCATGCTAATCGACAGGTATAATTGACAGGTGCAATTATGCAAATTTTTGCCACCATTGAGCGCATGTGGGTCGGGGGGGGGGGGTGGGGGAAGAAACACCAACAATCACACTGCGACTTTGACAGGTCAATGCATCAAAATCTTTACGCCAATGGTTCTTGAACGGACACAACTAGTTGCCGAACACTTTTTCAATCACAGCGTAGTAAAAGAAACTATTAGGTCTAAAAATGATTTCATATATCCGCCAAATCTACATTAAAACTGATTTGCGGGGGGGGGGGGGGGGGGGGG